GCGGGAGCGCCGCCGCACTTCCCAAGCGGCGCACTGTAGCAGTGCGCCACCGGGCCAGCCCTTGGGTTAGAATTTTTAATAACAAATGAGCAATGTGTTTGCAGTAGGCTATATATAGGCTGTAAGATAAGCTTTATAGAAATAGTTCAGTTTGTGTCTTACATTGACTATTAATAATACTATTCATAGAAAAGTACACCAAAATGATTTGTGTGCAAAGTAATATGACTCAAAGACTGCACAAGCAAATTAACATTAATGGGAAAATTTCTCAGGGGATAAAATTCCTTGAAAATTAGAAAGATTGTTCTTCAATAAATAAGCACCTGTGAAATGTTTGGCACAAAAACCCGATCATTTTAATCTTTTGGCAAAACTGTCAGAGAGGTTAGTCTTTGTGGAGTTCTGTTCTTTTCAAATGTCATTAAATGACATTTCCTGCCAAAGCCCTTCCTGACCGAGATGGTGTTTATAGAAGGGCCACAGCTCAGATGGACTTCATGCCAAAGGAAGTTTGGTGCTAGCTCCAGCTTAGCCCCTACATGGCTGGGTGACCTGGATCTAGTGGGTTCCCTAAACTGGAGCTCAGCTTCTTCATCTGTATAATGTGACGGTCGAGCTGATGATGTGTTATGGGGATGTTGTAGATGTACACTCATTCATTCAACAAGGGTTTATTGAACACATGCTATATGCCAGGTACAATTCGATCACTGGGGATTCAATGAGCAAAACTGGGTGGGGTTGCTGCCCCTGGTACTTAGATTCTAGTAGGGGAGAGAGATGGTCCTTTATCAAATAGCCACATAAATAATTGTGTAATCACAACCTTGGTAAATACCATGAAGGGCTGATGGAGTACATGGGGCAGGGGGAACTCATGACAGGGGGATTTATTTTACCCAGGCAAGGAGAGCAGAAAGGGCCTCAGGGGGACATGACAGGCAAGGGGGTAGAACATGTGGGCTGCAATGGAGAGGAAAGGGCTTTGAAGGCATAGGAGGCCCTGGGCTGTACTCCCAGCACAGCTCCTAGCTGGCTGCCTTATCTCTCTGCATCTCAATTTCCTCATCTCTAAAAATGGGACTAGTATCAAGGGACTTTCATGGTGTTGTAAGGTTTCAGAGGATGACATGTTTGACAATACCAGCACTGTGCTGGCAAATTACATTTTCATTTCATTTCTAAGAATAACTTTGGAACCAGAGATGTACTATTTTGGTCATAGATTTTTAGCTGTGAAGAAAGAAAGAAAACAGTCTTGAGGCTTCTTTTAAAAAAGCCTGAGTTCACGTTCTGCCCTGAAACATGCCTGGCTTTCCTTAGTCTCAGAGCCACATTTGAGTCACTTGACTATGAAACCCCAGGAATGACCTTGCTGCATGATTAAGTGACAGAGTCCTGAGTTTTGGGGCCTGGCGGAAGTTCAGATGTCCCTGGTCTGATCCTTTGCCATTTACACAAGAGGAAAGGAGGACGATCACATGAGGAGGCAAACTCTACTCCAAGGTCTTGTGCTGTTCTATATTGTCTCTCTGCTTACTACTCCCTGGAAGCTGTGGACACTCTCTGAGGTGACCATGCTGCTTGTGAGTGCTTAGGCACTCTACTCCAAGGTCTTGTGCTGTTCTATATTGTCTCTCTGCTTACTACTCCCTGGAAGCTATGGACACTCTCTGAGGTGACCATGCTGCTTGTGAGTGCTTAGGTAATTCCTTCTCGAGATAAAGGTAGGTTAGCTCTATCTTGTAACTCAAGGCCTGAGGATTACTCCTTTAATCTTACAAAAGCAAACAGGAGGACAGAAATAACCCATCAATTGTTTAAAATTAAAGTGGCCAACAATAATAAATAATTGCTACAATAGCTTGAGGTCAGGGTCTTCATTTATTGGAGGCCATTCAAAAATTTGAAACTTTTCTCTAAGTTAATTTTTCACATCTTGTTTGGATCCTCAGAGTCTTATGTCCAAAGCAAGGCCATCAGATTTCTCACTGCACATGTTATTTTTGTCAATATGCCAGACATGCAAGAGAGTGAGGTTCTCTCTTCATGGATGGGTAATGATGAATCCTCCTCCCCAAAATTCATATTTCAAAGTATTTTAGCATATTGAGATTTTTAATAGTTCTCTTCTCTTTCATGCTGTATTAATGATTGCAAACAACAAAAACATATGCTGGTTAATTTAAGCAGAAAAGGAATTTATTGGAAGGCTATGGGCTAGTTCAGAGCATAGGCAGGAGGGCTGGGGAACCAGTGCAGGCGGGAAACGGGGAAGGCAAGGCTTAGCTCAGGGTGCCACCCCTGGGCTCTCAACTCCTCTCCTGCCACCTCAGATGATCTCTGAGGGTCCCAGTTTCTTTATGCAAACCTCAAACTTCATAGCCCTGGGTGGGAGCATCTGTCACCACATTAAGGCCACTTGACCACCCTTAGATCCCGTGACGGCACTGAGTTGGGGGCCCATACTCTGGCGGCCAGGAGGGGAGCAGGAGGGTCTGCCCCCTTCTGCTGATGTGCCCCTCCCACCTAGCTTGAGATTTCTCCCCAGACAGGGAGATGTCAAGATACTGAGCAGCCAAAAATAACAACTGTCCGTTATAGAAACCTTCATGTGCTTAATCACATCTTCCAGTAACGGGTTGGCCAATTAAAGATTGGCCACTGATGTGAATTAATTTTGTCCAAAGCTCACATCACATAACGATCGTCAATCTCGTGCATCTTCCTTGTTGTCATCCTTGTCCGCATCCCCTTCCTTGGCCCGTCACCCCCCACTCCTCTGGGCTACCATCTCCATCCTCCTCCTCACCCTCAAACATTCACCTCCTCTCCTCCCGCTCCCAGTGCTGGACGCCGCTTCTGTTTCCCTGCAGAAGGGAAGCGATCCCAAGGGAATTTCCACGTGTTCCTCTTACCCATGTCCTAACACAACTGCAGCTGAGTCTGGTGCTCCACTTTCTCTCCTCACCCCAGCGAGCCCAGCCCTTCATCTGCTCGCCAGGCCCCACCCAGCAATTGTCTCCTGTCTTGTCTTCACTAATTGTTCCCTTTCTAGTGAGCCTTTGCATCAGCAGAAGCATACTATGATAACTCCCATCTGGAAAAAAAAAAAAAAAATACTTCCCAGAGCCCACCAGCTCCCATCCTGTTTCTCTACTCCTCTTTAGAGAAATTCCTCCAAATAGTCATCTGTACTCAATGTTTCCATTTATTCTCCTCCTCCATCTCTTAAACCCACTCCAATCAGGTTCACCTCTCCTTCCTTCTGCTTCAGCAGTTCTTATCAAGGTCACAGTGAACTCCAGGTGGCTCATTCCAATGGCCAGTTCTAATTCTTCATGCTGTTTTCATCTGTCTGCCACATTTGACAAAATAGATCACTCCTTTCTTGAAACACTTCTTCTGCAACCACTTGGACACCATCTCTCTTGGTTTTCTACCCACCTCCCTAGCCACTGTTTTTCAGTCTCCTTTGCTGGCTCCTCCTCAACTTCAGTTCCTAAATGTGAAACCTCTTCTCTATCTTTACTCATTCCCTAATGATCATATCTGGTCAATCCCAAATGTATTTCTCTTGTCAGGCCCCTCCTTCAACTTCAGACTCATTCATCCAACTGCCTTAATATCTCCTGTAAAATGTATTGGCTTTTGGATGATCTCTGCTAAACCTTCTCTACTCACAGTCTTTCCCATCTCCATAAATGACAACTCCTTTCTTCCAGTGGTTGAATCCAAAGCCTAGAGCCCATCCTCAACTCCTCTCTTCCCAGCTCTCATCCAGTCCATGAGAAAAATCTGTTGGCACAACCTTTGAACCAGATCCAGAATATGACCTCTTCTCACTACCTCAGCTGCCACCACCCTGGTCTAAGCATTCATCTTCTCACAGCAGGATTATCGCAAGAGCCCCCTCATCAGGCTGCCTGCCTCTCGCTTGACCACTCCCCAGAGCGTTCACATCACAGCCAGTATGATGGACGTCAGTCATGCTGCTCCTCTGCTCAGAGCCTGGCAGGGGGCTGATTTACTCAGAGTCAAGCCATGGTCCCAATGATGGCCCGCAAGGCCCCGTGTGATCTGCCCGCCCCGCTCCCTTCGCCTCTCTAAGCTCGTTTCCTCCTGCTCTCCTTCTCACTCACTTCCCTGCAGCCACACTGGCCTCCTTGCTATTCCTTAAACACAACAGGCATGTGTCCACCTCAGGGATTTTCCCTTGCAAGGGATATGTGCGTGTCTTGTCCCGCTTCTTCCTTCAGTTTTCTACTGAGAGTGAGGCTCCCCTGGTCACTCTATTTAAAATTGCAACCCACTCCCCCACCTAAGCTGGTGCTTTTTATCCTCTTTACCCTTTGTAAGTTTCCTCCATAGCTCTGATCACATTCTGACATATCCTTTATGTATGTTTTCTGCCCTCCTAAAGCTCCAAGGACTCTTTTGTGTTCACTGCTCTTTTCCTGGCACATAGAGTAGTGGCTGACATGTCGTAGGTGGTCAAAAATAACTGAACAAATGAATTAATGTATGAATGAATGCCGCATATACATTATTAAATGTCTTATAGCTTTCCAAGTTTGATATACAAGATTTCATGTGTGCCACATAACAGTCTAGTGAGGTAGGTGAGGCAGAACCCTGTGTTTCAGATGAAGACGCGGAAGCCCATGGGAGCTAACTGATTGCCCGAGGACACATGGCTGGTTACTGTGGTTCCTAGAACTCGTAGTTCTGATCCCAGTCTCTGCCCCCCACCCTCAACTACCCCTTGATGCCTCATGTTATATTAGTGTCAGCTTCAGGGCATTCATTGCTGTTTATTTTTCATTACAGTGTTGATGAGAAAACCCCATATCTAGCTTTGGGGGCTGTGAAGAATATCTCCTTAAACATCTCCATCTCCAACCTTGGGGATGATGCCTATGATGCTAACGTGTCCTTCAATGTTTCCCGGGAGCTCTTCTTCATCAACATGTGGCAGAAGGTAAGGTGGCACCCCCGAAAGACAGCCTTCGGTGAAGAATATCTCCTTAAACATCTCCATCTCCAACCTTGGGGATGATGCCTATGATGCTAATGTGTCCTTCAATGTTTCCCGGGAGCTCTTCTTCATCAACATGTGGCAGAAGGTAAGGTGGCACCCCCGAAAGACAGCCTTCATTCCATTTAGTGCACTCGTTGACTTTTGTCATAGCTTGAAGTATGTGATGATTCTACTGAGACTGTTCCTTCACATGGAGTATCATTTGGCATTATTAGAATTTTTTTCATCCCGGACTTAGTATGTTGGTGGAGCCAAAGAAGAAGCCATAGGTACCTACAGAGCATCAGAAGAGTGTTTGTATCTGACATTGTCTCTCATCTCTTCTCTCTTCTGGAACCCTCTCGCTGTGGTTTTATGTCTGGCCCCTTCTCCGACATGGTACAATCACTGTCTCCAGCACACACACAGGTTCTAGACAACTCCAGTCTTAGGTCAGTAGTTATTGAAAAAAACAAGATAAGACATGAGGACAGATCAGCACTTATCATGCTTGTCATCACCAATGATGCACTTGATGTTTTCCATTAGAGGATCATCTACGTCAGCCTATGCTTTAGCATATTTATTTATCCCTGATGTATTTGAGTCAACTTAGGAAATTAAATTATTTCCATGAGTTGAATGAGTTTAGAGTGAATTAATTAATTTGAATGAAGTTTAGATAGCATAATTCAAAAAGGGAAGGAGCTAGAACTCTCTCCCGTCCCATGATCTCCCTCACTGCACCGCCCTCGGGAAGGAAGAGGAGCAGGTGGCAGGGAAGAAAGAGTGGACGCAGGCAGACTGTTCTACCCAGCGACTGCCCCAACTGTTGACGGCTGTTCACATGGGAATTTTTGCAGCTTTTCAAAGTGTTTACAGCATTGAACTGTAGTGCCTGGGTCGCTTGTTAAAATGAGAACAAAATCACTTTCTGAGGAAAACCTTCACCCTGCCCACCGATGAGCACTGGGAACACATTTGAGCAGGCGGGCAGCCTTCTGTTCAGGCACATGTCCTACCAGGGTCAACAGTTTTGATGGTATAGTGCCAATCCTGCCCAGTGTAGGGGGCAAGTGAAGCAAGGAGAGCCACCAGAATGGTGGCAGTCCACAAACTGTTCAAGAAGTCACCTCAGACTCCTGCTGCATAATAGTTCTCAGGAGCTCCTGGGTTGGAGGAGGCCACAAAAGCAGTCAAGAACTGCAGGA